CCAGAATTATTATCTTTAAATCAGAAAAGGGAGGAACCCAAGCAAAGATGTTTTCCAGTATGCGGGTGTCCATCTGACTTTAAAGTTGTGTTAAAGACGTCTATAGTTAGTGCTGTGGGGGCATACTGTATGTATTTATTATAATAAAGAGCTTTTCCAGTTAGAGAGTTTGGTGACGAGTTGCTGGAATTCAGAGATTATCTGAAGTTTCTATCATTTTTATTTTACTAAATAAATTGAATGTAAATTTTATCTGCCATGCCAGTTATACTTTGCTAAGATAATTTGGTGGGGTTTTTTTTCAGGCTTACGGCTCTGAAGTGTCTTCGTCTCCCCAATTTTCCTCTGCAGAAATAAATCTCATCGTCGAGACTCTAAAACTTTCTAAAGGGATATGTTTTGAAGTCTGAAGTTTTTGTTTTTCAGAAAGCAGTTTAGTAAATTACATACATTATGAGTATGCAGTAGTTTTGTTGGTAGTAACAGTATTTTGTTAGATGTTACTAATAACAGAAGAAAGATCTGTCTTTGGTTAAGTTGATCGTAAATTACAACATGATTAGTATTACAATTGAATGGTCCTGAAGAGTAGGTTAATTTTTAAAATGCCATAAAGTGTATGCTGCGGAAACATTATGGTTAACTAGTTTGTGGAGAAAAAGCCTTATTTAGTTGACCAGGTGTAGATGGTATACACCATTAGGAAGAAAGACAGTATAATGATACTTTAGAAGTAGAAACAAATGTAGATAATTTTCAAAGAAGAGTTAACAGTTTGAAGCACTAAACCAAATTCACTTGATATCACACAGATTCAATAAAGCTTGTGGATATTGATTTCCCCAAAAGTTATTAACTGAAGCAGCAGTAACTTAAGTACTTTTGAGTTAAACTTTAAACGGTATGAGCAGTTATTTTTGCTAGAATAAAATGAGATTAATTTCGATGTCATATTCAAGTACTTATAAAGGAAAAAAATCCTGCATTAAAACCTTATTCTGATGGCATAGCCAGTACTGACCTGATATCTAGGCTTCATAGCTTATAACTGAAAGCACGTTAAAGGCATATTTTAAGTGCAAAATTTTAAGAATATAAATTTTTTGAAAAAGTTTAATATGTGTAGAAGTAAAAAGTTTTCAGGTCTTTAGTTACTACACCAAATTACGAGCAAATAGTACCTGGGTTGCCTAAAAGTTAGTGTAGTCATCCCAGAGTACTAAGTGGAATCATGGTAATTTAGGCAAGGGATTCATCATACCCGAGTGTACACTCAGGTATAAGTCCAGTAAAGAAGTTGTAGTGAATTTCTGCGTTAGTAGGAGTCTGTCATTTGATCCCTTTTTGTGGTAGAAATCCAATGTGAAGAGATGAGAAATTTTGTGTGAAAGTTTTAGCCATCAAAAAAGTACTGTCACACACTCATGCACAAAACTACCTCCCAAAGTGTTGTCCAAAGTCTTCCTATAAAAGAATTAAGAATATAATGGAAGAGAGTGCAGTTTTGCCAAGTTGGACAAATGACAACAAACAAAAACTGAAGTACGACCTTTCCTGTGAGCTCTACCGGATGTCCACGTACTCGGCTTTTCCCAGCGGCGTACCTGTCTCGGAAAGGAGTCTCGCTCGTGCTGGCTTCTATTACACTGGTGTGAACGACCGAGTCAAGTGCTTCTCTTGTGGGCTGATGCTGGATAACTGGAAACGGGGAGACAGTCCGATCGAAAAGCATAAACAGCTGTACCCCAGCTGCGGCTTTGCTCAGAACCTGACTTCCACGAGCCTGCGGTCCTTCTCTAAAAGTTACCCCACAGTGATGAACAGCGGGCCACATTCATTATCTCCTCCTTTGGAACCCAGTGGTCCACTCGGTGGCTTTTATTCCGGCCTTTCACCAGACCCTCTCAACTCCAGAGCAGTTGAAGACTTCTCTCCAGTAAGGACTAATCCCTACAGTTACGCCATGAGTACTGAAGAAGCCAGATTGCTTACTTACAAGATGTGGCCATTGACCTTTTTGTCACCATTGGACCTGGCAAGAGCTGGCTTTTATTACATAGGACCTGGAGATAGGGTCGCCTGCTTTGCCTGCTGTGGAAAGCTGAGTAACTGGGAACCGAAGGATGATGCCATGTCAGAACACCAGAGGCATTTTCCCAACTGTCCATTTCTAGAAAACTCTCTAGAAACTCTGAGGCTTAGTATTTCAAATCTGAGCATGCAGACACATGCAGCTCGAATGCGGTCATTCAGGTCTTGGCCATCTGCGGTTCCAGTTCAGCCTAAGCAGCTCGCAAGTGCCGGCTTTTACTATGTTGGTAAGACAGTTAAGTAGCTCTACATTTTATCTAGCCCATTTTGATTGTTGGAACACATGTTAGTGTTTTGGGTTTCATTTTCCCTATAGGTCGCAACGATGATGTCAAATGCTTTTGTTGTGATGGCGGCTTGAGATGTTGGGAATCTGGAGATGACCCGTGGGTGGAGCATGCCAAGTGGTTTCCCAGGTAAGTGGCTTTTGTGTTTGTTTTTCTGTTTGGTTGATTTTTTTTTTTTTTTTCTTTATTTTTTTTTTTTTTTTTTTTTGGTTCTGGGCTTGAACTCAGGACCTTGCGCCTGATAGGCATATACTCTGTCTCTGAGCTTTGGCCCCACCAAAGAAATTGTTTTGAGAAAGTATGACTGTAGTAAAACTGTACACGTAAGGGAAGTAGATATGCTTATGTAAGTCAGATTTTAAATTACATATAACAGCCTATCATACCATTGCTCAGTTAGTAAAAGACCAAATTTTCATTAAAATATTAAATGTTTGGTTAAAAATGTTTGACTAAAATTTTCTGTGGCCAGAAAAAAGTTCTGTGATCTTCTGTACACTTCTTTTGTAAGCCATGCACTTGGTCTATAATTTAAAATTCTTGCTGACACATTAATAGGTTTGACTTTCTTTTCAGAGAACTTAAGAATTACATAAATTAGAAAAAAGGTAAAAGAAGAGAAAATCAAGAAGGAATATAGAGGGCTGGAGAGATGGCTCAGTGATCTAAAGCACCTACTTGGAACAAGCTTGGCAAAGCACAGGGACCACAGTTCGATCCCCCAGCACCACATGCCAGCCAGCCCCGCCCCCAGGTGGGCTGAGCTGGTGCCCCCCCCACTAAATAAATAAATGTTTAAAAAAAAAAAAGGAATATAGATAAAGCTGGGCATAGTGGTACACACCTTGTAACTGGGCTTTGTTGTACTAGGTTGCCTTCTACCAGTGAGCTACAGTCCCAGCTACCTGTTATTTTGCTACTGGGGGTTGAATCTAATAGCGCTCTACCACTGAACTACAGCCCCCACCCTCCTTTCTGAAATTCTTTTTGAGACAGTGTCTCCGAATTACTCAGGCTGGCCTTAATGTGTTCTCAACGGGGGCCATAATTCCTATGTCTGACTGTTGGGTGGCTTGAACCACTGGTGGTACATGCACCATTGCCCAGCTGGGCAGCTTTTTTATTTTATTAGTAAAGATGGAAAAAGGTGATTAGAAGTGTGAGCCAAATAGCTCAGCGGATTAAAGTGCCTGCAAGCAGGCGCAGGGGCCAGTGATTCAATCCCCAGGCCTGTAGTGCCAGCCCCACCTCAGGGCGCACCAAGATGGCAATTGAGACTGGGTGTAGCGGCATGCACTTGTAATCCCAGCTCTTGGGAGGCTATAGAACTACGAGTCTGATCTAGTAGTAAGACCCTGAACATCTGTAGACCCTTCCCTAAAAAAATGATGAGATCCATGTGTACCGCCAGTGATCCAGGTTGCCCTGTGGACTGGCCCTGGGTGCACTCCTGGAGGCTCAGGCCAGCAGGATGGTCCTCTGGTATCAGTGTTTTGCGGAGCTGGGACTGCGGTGTGTTTATGGGGCCTGGCCCAGCCCCTTGTCTTCTGTAGAGCCTAGAGATGAGTTAGAGCCAGTGTTAGTGAAGCAGAACTACAAATTGTCTTTGTGATCAGTCCTGTATGCACCTGGACTTCATTTGTAAAATGAAGAGGTAGGGTTAGGTGTTTTTATTTCATTGTGCTAAAATATACATAAGAAAATTTATCATTTAAATAAGCATATATTTCTGTGGTAGTAAGTACATTCATACTGAACTGCAGTCATCACTACTGTCATCTGCAGAACTTTTTGTCTTCTCAGACCGAAACTAACCATCACTGTGTTACCTGTCACTTTTCTCTCCTGGCAACCACTGTTATCCCTTCTGTCCTGTGGGTTCGGATACCACACACAAGTAGAATTGTTCAGTGCTGTCTTTCGACCTGTGAGTTTCACAAGACTGAAGATCTTTGGAATTTTTTCAGGAAGTTGAAGCCTTTTGACATTTTTATATATTTGTGATGAAAAAGAAATTTGAAGTAATATTTTATTGTGGATTAACACCTTTTAAAATTGTATCACTTTGGCCCAGGGAGATAGTTCAGCGGCATAAGTGCCTGCCTGGCAAGTGCAAAGTCTTGAGTTTTATTCCCGGTACCACAAAAAAAAAAAAAAAAAGTATTACTAATGTGCATAATATTTAAAGCAAATTTTGATGTTTTTAACTTTGAGAAATGGTGTTAATTTATTTAAAATTATGTAAGAAAAAATGTTAGAATTTCAAATGACTTAATTATGATTGGCTTATGGAAATATGTATATAACTTTTCCTTTTATTTTGTGAGGGGTGCTCTTTCCCAGTGGTCTTGAACTTATGGGCTTAATTGATCCTTAGCCTCCCATTTAGCTGGACTGCAGGCCCACTGTGTGCCAGGGCCTGGATTATGTAGGTGTACAATTTGAAATTTACTTGGTGTTAATCAAAAAGACAAAAGTAGCTTTCAAAATCTGATGTGTGGATTATTACATTTTTTGGTTTATAAAACAAAACAATTGTTATTTTTGTAATTCTTGTTTTAAATGGTTTTAAAGACTTAGGACTGCTTTTTAAGTATTTCTCTGAAAATAGTGGATTGCAGTTGTAAATAATCTTTTAATCTCATTAAATGAAAAATCAGAATAGACAGTCATTCTTACTGCATTTTAGCAGAATTTATCCCATCTGTCCCTAGTACTTTACTTTTATTTATTTATTTATTTATTTATTTTTTGGTTTTGGTGTTACCAGGGATCGAACTCAGGACCTTGCACTTGCTAGGCGAGCACTTATTCAACTGAGCTATCTTCCTGGCCCCCATCACTAGCATTTTAGATGCTGGGGAAAGAACAGTGAACAAGGTAGACAGAAATCTGACCTCATGGGATTTAGTAGAGAAGGGAAAGTATGGAGCAACCAGAATTTCTTAACCTTGTACAGTTAGCCATCATGACTTTAAATCTATCCAAAATAAAAGTAAGTGATAGCATAGAGTCAGACATGAAGCAATAGCTAGCTTTGTCATTTGATCGTGTTGGATCTGAAGTATGTGTGTGTTTATATGTTCTGTACTTATTTTTACTTTGAACTTTAAAATACTGTCTTGAAGGGGAAAAAATAATTTTATTGACTTATAATAATTTAAGCTTATTGGTTTATAGTTTGCATTCTAGTTATTAAAGATTGCCTTTTCTTTTTTAGACATACAATGGATGGAATTTAGAGTTTTATAACTGTTAGGCTAGTGCTGTACCACTGAGCCACATACCCAACCCTTCCCCCTTTTAAGCTCATTCATTCATTCTTGCATTCATGATCTTTTTGTTTTTTTGTTTTTTAACATTTATTTATTGTGTGTGTGTGTGTGTGTGTGTGTGTGTGGCCAGCTCAGCCCACCAGGGGGCACGGCTGGCTGGCATGTGGTGCTGGGGGATCGAACCGCGGTCCCTGTGCTTTTCCAAGCTTGTTCCAAATAGGTGCTTTAGACCACTGAGCCATCTCTCCAGCCCTCATGATCTTTTTGAGACAGGTCTTGCTATGCAGTTCAGGCTGGCTTTGAGCTCACTTTGTAGCCCAGGCTGGTCTCGAACTCACAACATCTTCCTGCCTCCTGAGTGCTGGAATCATAGGTGTGCGCCATCACACCCAGCCTCAGCCATTTTAACTTTATTTTGAAATAAGGTCTCTTAAATTGCCAAGAATTCCTTGAACTTGCTAGCTTCAGGCCCCCCATGTAATTGGAATTATAGACATATGCCATTGTGCCTACCACTTTGAGTATTTCTTTTCTTTCTTTCTTTTTTTTTAATGGCACTGGGGATTAAACTCAGGACCCAGCGTTTGCCAGGCAGACACTTAAGCCACTGAGCTATCTCCCCAGCGCGTTGAGGACTGCTTTTTGTTCTTTTATTTTGAGATAGGGTCTTGTTCTGGAGTCTTGGCTGGTGTGAAACGCATGCTTTTCCTCCCTCAGATTTCTGGAATTCTGAGTTTGAGGCATAAGGCCGTGTGACCACTAGTAAGAGATGGAATGATTCCATGGCCCAGAAAGCCCCTGTGCTCCTCTCCAGCCATTCTCTTCCCGTCCCAGGCCCTCCCAGCCACTGATCTTTTCTCGGTCCCTGTAATTTTGCCATTTCTAGATGGTCATATACATGAAACAATGATATACAGAACGGAACATACCATACAGTTTGTAGCTAGAGTCTGATATTGTCACTTCGGATGGTATTTGAGATGCATGCATGTGTATGTTACAGGTAATTCACCCTGTTGTTGCTGACCTGTGTTCCATGAAATGGTTGTACCACGGCTTGTTCAGGCCCTACTTGAAGGACATCTGAGGTGTTTCAGTTGGGAGCCGTCATAAGCAGCTCTAGAAAGGCACAAACATGGGAACATGTTTTTATTTCACTTACGGATGGAATTGTTGGGTTGTGGGACATGTTACTTTTAAACATTCTAAGAAATTGCCACATTATTTTCTGAAATGACCATACCATTTGAAATTCCCTTTGGCGGTGGGTGAAACCTCTAGGTTTTACACATCCTTACCAACACTTGGCATTGTCAATATTTTTTATTTTACTCATTCTTAGGGGTGGTTAGTGGCATCTCTTTGTGGTTTGAATATTTCCCCAAGCATAATGATTTTGAGCATGTTATGTGCTTATTTGCTATCTGTACGTCTTTAAAGTGTTCATTGACATATTTGCCCATGAAAAATATTTTAATTAAAATTTAACCTGACGCCAGGTGTGGTGGTGCACATCTGTAATCCCAGCATGTGGGAGGATGAGTCAGGAGGATTATTGCAAATTCAAGACTACCCTGGGCTACAAAGTGAGCTCAAGCTAGCCTGAATTCCATAGCAAGATCCTGTCTCAAAAAGGCAAAAAAACAAAAACCCTAAAAATCTAATTAAGGTGAATATAGTTACAAAAGAGTTAAGTTTTTATAGTTGATGTATTCAGGACACAAGTCCTTTGTCACATGTGCTTTACATAGTTTTTGAGATTTATTGAGATGTAATTAATGAATTACAGTATAGTATAAAGAGTACATATCATGGTTTGACATATACATGCGTTGTCAAACATGTGCATGCCTT